AACGACCCAACACCTTCTTGATCGATGGTCACTGTTATCATTAATGCTAATTAGCACATGTTTTTTTTAAGGAGAAACTTCTTTTCAATCAGTAAGCAAATATCGATCTCTTCCATCTTTCTCATTTGAATCAATCATCTTCGGTAATACTTGTCCTCTTTTGGAATCGAGAAACTAGAATTAGACAAAATTTCCCAAATGGTTATTTGGTTTAAAAAATATCCCTCAAACGGTCCTTATGAAACTTTTTTTTGCACCAATGGTCCTTCATTTTTATGTTTTAGGTTTTTTTTGCCTTTTTATTGGATTTATGATAATTAATACAAGGTTTAATAGATTTTTTAAAAAAAATTTAACAAATGGTCCTTATGTGAAATTTCAGGAAATTTCACAAATTGTTTTTATGGGGAACTTAACGTCTCTGTCTAGAAACTTTATATATAAGGATCGTTGACGTGCCAATTTTTGTCAAAAGAGACTATTGATGTAAAAAAAAGTAAGTTTTATAAGGATCTTTTGAATGAAAACTTTTAAACCAAAATGACCATTCGTGAAATTTTATCTTATAATTATAAAGAAACAAAAAACTTAACAGGGAAATCAAAAAGTCTAATACCTAAATGGAACAACTTATTAATGAAGTAGATCAATAAAAATCCATACCCATCCCATTGATTCTTACACTTTAAATTTGATTCATTTACATATGATAACTTACGATACCATTATAGCTATTGTATTAGTTAATAGTTAATGAAACATATATTTTATATGGATGAATTAAAATCTCAAATAGAAAAATCACATCCCTTATTAAAAGGGTTAAAAAGTACGATTCTTAAAAAGATAAAACAAATAAAAAACTAAAATCCAAACATACATAACTAAAATCCAAACATACATAACTTTTACATGTTTGGGTTGGATAACCGTCAGAACTCGATCTATCACCACATCTATCTATAGTAATTCATGCTAACAATTTAGTTTTTTTTAACAGCAAATCTAATATGTTTCTAAACTACTTCTTAATTTTATCTATATCCACGACAAAACTTGAAATTTTAACATCAAGAAGAAAGGGCAATATCTGATACAACTAGACCAAAAGCCCTTTGATGCTATAGCTATATACTTTTTACGTATAATCAAATTTTGCCATAAAAAACATATCACAAATACATAATTTGTAATACACTTGTATTCTATCTCTCTCTCTCTCTCTCTCTCTCTCTCTCTCTCTCTCTATATATATATATATATATATATATATATATATATATATATATATATATATATGTTTCCTAATTTCAGTCATCTTTCTGCTTCCTTTATAATTAACTTTCCTTCCATAAGGCTGAGGGGAGTAGTGGCTGCCCAACCGAGCTCCACCTTAGCTCCAACAAGGAAAAAAGTGGGGAAGAAAGGAGGAAGAAGAAGAAGAGGGGGTGTGGGTTGCCGAGTGGGGGAGAAGAAGAGAGGAAGAAAAAGAGGGAGACTCGGTAGAAGCTTGCTGAGTTCCATCTTTCGAGGACACGACACGGTTTGTCCCGAGGCCACGTAGGCCTTGTCGAACAGCTTGCCGGATGTTTCCCTCTAGCCTAATAAACATTAGCACATTTGTGTGTATGTTTACTAGTTTACAAATTTTTGCACGTGTTTGTAACGAAATCATGGAAATAACATAATAAAATAATTCATGTATCGTTCTATTTGATTGATCATACGAAGTCACTCTCGTTCCTTTCACACTAGATAAATATATGATATTTCAATAAAAGACAAAGTTAAATGAAAGGCATCACATCACTTGCAAAAACAACATGATTGTATTTACGTGGAGTGTTCAAATTGTCGATGAGAACAAGAATTGTGATCAAATGATTAAAAAAAAGGAAAATAGAAAAACGAGATGTTGAGAATTTATTATTTGCTTTCCGAAATTGAAAGAGAAATCGTGAGAAAAGTCTCAATATTTTCAAGAAAGTTATATTTTAGTCTCAATCCCGATTATTTCATTTTGGTTCAAGTTTACAAAAAAAAAGTCTTTTTTTTTCTTTTAACAGGAAATGACATATTATCTTGTTTTTATAAATAATCGGACTTTTATGTTTAAAAAAAAATCTTAAGACTAAAGTGTAACTTTCCTGAAAATATTGAGATTTTTCTGACAATTTCCCATTTGAAAAAGGTTGATTCTTTTATTATTTTAAGGTTTTTATGACTAATAAGTCAAAGCGATCATTCACGTATAAATATATTTGGTCTAGCGATAAGAAATGATTTTTTCAAATGAGAGGTCGTGAGTTCAAGTCTCTTAGGAAACATAGGTTGTATTTAATAGTAGGTTAGCTAGTTTGCCGTTTCAATATATAATGAAAATTCATAGTATTTTTGTGTGTCGTTAAATGCAATTAAAAAGGAAAGAAAAAACTCACGAAATATAATTAGCATTAAGTCATTAACAATACCATGTTGGTATAAAATAAACTCCAATTGAAATTTTATCAACAAAAAAACATTCAAAATTGTTGTATTGTTTTGACCAATATAAAATAAGTTCCAACTTATGAAAGTTAATAGTATTTTATAAAACGATTGATGACTATATAACCACAATAAAATCATATATAGTTTTAGACAACGTGGGTTTTTTCGATGGACCCATATTTTTTGTCGTTCAAGAATTAAAAATTAGAAGGGGCGTTTGGTGGACCTCAACCAGGTATGCCCCATAACCCGGAAAATAAAGATCGATAACTTTTTAATAACCCGTCTGAGATATTATTGTTTTGTCTGGCTTAGGCTACAAGGTGGTCCCAGACTCCCAGGCCCATGGGACCAAACGGTGACATCTTCAAACCTTCTTTATGTCGGACTCGGACATACGAATAAAGAAAATCATCTGACAGTATTTATAATACGAAAATGAGGTGTGACATACATTTGGATACGTATAAGTCATTAAGTTATATAACAAGTTACATAACAAATAACGGAGACTTAAAAACGAAAATGTAGTTAAATGGCTTAAATCCCGTAATACCCTTTAGTAGAAATTAGTAAAGTACGGTTTGATTTTTGGAATAGGGTTGTCAATAAAGGTGTCCAAAATTTAAATTGAACTAAAAAACACCAAATTGAATTGGAGATTGTGGAAATATAATTTTGTTATTGGTTCGGTTTAGGGACTTTTTTGACTTTGTGTAAATTAAAATAATAATAATAATAATAATAATAATATATAAATAAATAAATAAAATAGTACCATTTAAGTTTGAAAAATGAAATAACAATTCACTTTACAAAAGTATAAAAATGGTTATGGTGGTTTATTAAATTTCACGAATTCAATCATCTATCAATTTTTTTGACATAGTTGGTCATTTTTACTGACGCCGTCCATTTTCACCTATTAGGGACTGAATTCGAGAAAGTATTTTCATCTTTTCAGATATAAGATGGATCAAATTCATACATTAGTAAACCACATAGACCATTAATATAATTTGTCATAAAATAATTGTTGAGTATTTGCGATATTGAAACTGATTTGGCATGTTTGGTTATTTAGGGAAGCCTTTTTAGGGTTAATCGTTTTATGATTCCCTACGGTGCCTTTACAGTAGAAGAAGTTCTTAATCGAGCTCTTCTAAGACATTTGTTTTATACTAGGTGTAATACCCGTGTGTTACACGGGTTTCTTGAAATAAATAATATAAAATTTTGAACATCAACGAATTATTAAAATAATACAACACATATAAGTGAAGAGTTTATTGAATAAGTATGTAATTGAACCCAAAATACAAAAAAAAATCATTAATGAAATATTCTAAATAATTTTTACAAATCACAAATTTCCAAATACTTCTTTGAATACAACATTAGATGTCTTATTGGTAGGGTTTCCTTCGTTGTCTAAAATTAATATTTTCAATCCGTCTCTGCTTTTAACTCTAGACAATGCAACATACAACTGTCCATGAGTAAACACTGGTTGTCTCAAAAACAAACCAACCTTTGATAGCGACTGTCCTTGACTTTTGTTTATTGTCATCGCAAAGCATACAGCAAGTGGAAACTGTCTTCGCTGAAATGTGAAAGGAATCCTTTTATCCGACGGGGTCAGTGACATTCTTGGAATAAACGTACGTTTTCCTATATTACTTCCAGAAATAATCTCTGCTTCTATAACACGCTTACCCAATGCTATAACTCGCAGCCTTGTTCCATTACACAAACCGTATTTCTGGTCAATATTCTTCAATAACATAACTGGAACACCGACTTTTAATACCAATTTATGAATTGGCATACCTGAAGGTCTAAGGCCGTTTAGAACATCAGGAGAGTATAAAGATTCGTCAAAGTCATCGTGTACAAACTCCGATTGACAAAGACTGTCTGAACTTAAGTATTCTTTTTCATCTCCAGGAAATAATTTTAACAAACGATTGTTTATTTCTTGAACAACTTCATTTTTCGGTGCAAGGATTGCTCTTTCTTGAAAAAACATCGGATTATTGGCATTTTCAACAATAGAAGGATAGACAAATGTAATTAATGAACCAATAGGATCCGATGAATCTGTAATGAGAATATCATCTGGTATATCAACAATTGCCTCGCCGTCGTTTAAGCCACCAACCTTTCCTTCACCTATATTCAAAATCCAGTTTGCAAATGTGGTTGTTTCTTCAATATTAGATGTTTGAAGACTTAACCTCATGTTTTTTGTTAATCTTAAGACCTTGCAATTTGACCAAATATAGGAGGAACTTATTGAAGCATTGACGATGTCTTGTCTACTTCCATTAGGAACAACAGGTAGAATTTGTCTAAAATCACCTCCAAAAACAATTGCTTTTCCTCCAAATGGCAATTTTGAGTTGCTACGAAGATGACAACCCAATATATCCTTCAAAGATCTATCCAAAGCTTCAAAGGAATGGTTGTGAATCATGGGTGCCTCGTCCCATATAATCAATGATGTTTTTTTAACAATTCAACAACATCACTTTCGGGGTTATAGAACAAAACGAATCCTTGGTAATATTTAAAGGGATTATAAACTCTGCTGTCCTACCTCCTGTCAATAATAATGAAGCAATACCACGTGAATCAACATTTAACACGATTTCACCCTCCGATCTTAAAGCAGCGGATAATGTTTTCCAGAGAAATGTTTTCCCTGTACCTCCGTAACCGTAAACAAAAAAGACGCCTCCTTTCTTTTGTTTAACATTTGTGATAATATCGTCGAAAACACCTCTTTGTTCATCTGTTAATGAACCAAGTAGCTGATAAAACTCTTGTAATAGAGTCGTCCTGTCAAAATCTAGCTCCTCCGTAATCAATCGATTATTTGAAGAAGATATAGACTCATGATCAGGGTAAGGCATCCCATCAAAATCTTTGAGGCTTGAATTGTTTTGGAGTAAAATTTTTTCAATCTCATAAAGTGTCAAGTTCTTAACTTGATCCTCATCAAGCGATAAACCTGTAGAAATTTGCAAGTTAATTTTTATAGATATATAACTATATAAAATTAAAACTTAACGATAATAATAAGGTTAATAAGTTTTAGTTAAATATATAAAAATATATAATAAATTTTATTCAATAAATATAATATATTATGTAAGAATTATTAAGTAAAACATTAATTTAAATAATGAAAAATAACATATTACCTGGTGCCTTTAATCTTAGTTGTTGATTGTAGAGAATTCCATCTGATAAGTATTGCCAAGTTTTTTCCCAGACAAAGTACGGTCTCGACAAACTATTAGACTTCAGCATAGTTGCAAATAGATAACGCAAATAATATCCAGAACCTGAATGACTTGCTTCCTCAATTGCATCAATATATTCCCTATCATCTTCCAAAAGTCCAAGAGCATAACACGCCTCTCTAAAAGTAGCACACACATGTCCATTAACCGTACGAATGTCTGCAAAACATTTCGGACCTTTGACTTTATTTAAAAGGATTCTCAAAAAATATGCTTCACCAACATTAGGAGAGACGGTGTGAATTCGACCGATAGAAAATCCTTTTTCTCTTGGCTTCCAACAACGATCCTTCAATTTCCAAACAAACTTGGTAGGAAATTCAACATAAGAAAGCTTACGTGCTTCCTTATTATGTTCATTACACTCCATCCAAGCTAAGAACATCGAAGAAGAAACAGACTGTTTATTGAGGACATCTTCAATATCATCGTCAGCACCGTATACAACATTTTGTTGTCCAGGAAGATGAAAAGGAAGCCTCACAACAGAAGGAGTCCTGAAATGAACATCAAATTTGAATATACGCCACGAAGCTTCACATGCAGACAAATATCTACAATCGTAGTAGTTTTTTATTTCGTCAACTACATCGTCATTATCATCTGCGTTGTTGTTTGGTACAACCGCAACAGTAGCCCTATCAGGACCCTTGTTAATATATTTGAACAAATATTTGATGGAAGCACCCTGATTGCACCACTCAACATTAATGTGAGCTTGGTATCTTTTCAAAAGCAGTTTGTGATATGGAACCACACTTCTATTGTCTAACTTAACACCAGACTTTTCAACAAAAGATCCATCATTACGTCTCTTATATATTGGATAACCATTTTCATCAACCGAAGTATGCTCTGTGAATGTCTTTGGGAAGTTTTTTGAACACTTGTTATCAATCATGCATGGGCATTTAGGATTATCACTACCACAAGGACCATGCATCATGAACTCGCTGACAAGTGCATACAATTCTGGATCGTCGTCTTTGTTTGGAATTTCAGCAGAAATAACACGATCAATATGTTCAACGGTTGGGAGCTTGTAATCAGAGTGCATGAATAGACATATATGAGCATGAGGTAGGCCGCGCTTTTGAAACTCCACCGTATAAACAGCTGACAATTTATTTACATAGAGACGTATTATAAGATTTTGAAAAAAATAAAAAAACATATTAACAAAATATATAAAAACACTTTAACAATGCATTATTAATATAAATTACCTGCTTCGACCGAACCCAATAATGAATTTTTCTTTAAGTCTTTAATCAATGAATCTAGCTTCATTTTGAACAACCTAGATAGGATATCTGGTCTGTCTTCGGGTTTGAGGTTTGTGTCAGCAATAAACCTTTGAATCTCGGGCCACTTTGGATTGCATGTTACAGTTATGAAATAATCTGGGTAGCCAAACCACTTACAAAGTGACATGGCATCTAAATAGTTTTGCATCATGTAGCGTGCACCACCAGTAAAAGAAGAAGGCAATATCACACGCTGTCCAATATTCGAAATATCTGTATTTCCATTGTTTTTCACGCTGCGTAATGTTTCATAGGACTCGCATCGAAGAACTTTTTGTTGGTTTCGTATGTAATACAGCCTCTCGCTTTCAATCATCGTATAAGCATCAACCAGAAATTGTTGAAAAAGCCTTCTTGAATTCAGAATTAATGAGAAAATATTAACTCTGTCTTGAATCCTATAAGAAAAGAATTCTCTCATTGTACAGTTACATCGTTTGTTATTCGTTGAACACGTAACACCTCTATGAGGGATGTCAACTCGATATCCATCATCCCCATAAGGAAAGAGCAGTGGGTATTGAAGAGCAAGGTAAGCAGGATGCAATTCATTTATACGTTGTAGACTGCCTGATTTAGTTTTTACGATGATATCTCTATTATCAATTGAATTACCAATGTCACCAACAATTAAAGCAGCAACCTCAGAAGCGGTAGGTAGGTTATATGTCCTTCCATCATGTTGTCTTCTTCCTATAAGACGTAACTTTAGATCTATATTAGGACTTGCATTAAAACAATCTCTTGCCATTCTATAACACTTAACCAACTCATTTGTTGAATCCAACATAACCTTCAAAAATCTTATGATTTCGATATCAAGTTGCTGAGAAGTTGAATTGCACCCATCTTTTTGTGTACTGTTAATAATGACGATTATATTTAATATTTAGTAGGTAAATAAGTATAATGAAAAAAAAGGATTGTTATAAAAAATAAACATGAAATATACCTGAAAGCGTGTTGTCTATTTGAAAGTTCGTTGTCAGTATCATATATGTATAGTTGAGAGAACTTTGGTTTTGATCCATCTATAGGTAGAAGGCTGCCCATACAATGGTAATTTTGACCACTAAGTCTGAAAATATATGGACCTTTGCCTTTGTTAACGGAAGAATCAACTTTTCCACCCATCGATGTAAATGAAAACATCGAATTGAACAGACGAATGTTGTTCAAAAAATGTTTCCCTTTGGGATGAACAGAACGATAAAGATTTTGGTAATCTTCAGGTGCTTCTTTTAATTCAGGAAGCTCGACCTTTCCGTTACCACAACACATTGAAAAAGATGTTTTGTTGCCATCTTTATTGCCTTTAAGGGCTTCATTTTGCCATAATTTTGCATGACAACTCGTACACACAAAACTCTGATCACCATGGTCGAAATAATCTGTTTAAAAAAACTTGATTAAAGATATACATATATTATTCTTGAAATGAGTAATAGTTTAATATAATCATTAGTGTTACCTTTTGAGATACCCGAAATCAATTGAACATGATTATGCTGAACATTTAAGTGTTCATCTGATGTTAAGTCTATGGGTATATGAGATATATTTGAGATTTTCCTTTTTGACTTTTTGTTTCTCAAAGATAAACTGATAGAATTATCTCGAGTGACTGCTAACGAAGATGTGGCTGTCATATCATTAGACAATATAGAATATTGTCTATTTCCTGACACTGAAAGTATAAATGTTAGTATTGAATTTTGAAATAAAAATGATAATAGTATGATTTAAATTGTATAAAATACATACATAATATTTTTTGTAACTTATATAGTAGGAAAACTGATGTGAAAAGAAATTAGATATACCATTGGTAATGTTAGATAACGGTGTTGTTGTCGTATAATTGGAAGTAGATTTGAAACTTTGCTGAGCATACTCCATACACGCTACGAAATAAAAATATTTTAATTGATATAAAAAATAAAATAAACATAATAAACATTGGAATTTATTATTAGACAAATAATTATACATTAGATGGATGAGAAATAAATTATATAATATATAGCATATTACCGTTTGGTGTGGTGCAAGTCTGAATGGATCTTCTATTATCCAAATATTTTTTTCTTTGTTTTCGCTTATCTTTATAAACGTTTGGGTTGACATTTTGATTGTCACCGGTAACATTATTGAACTTGCTTGATGACAAGGTTTGACATTTGCTACTGTCATTAGTAAGCACTGAGAAAATTATATAAGAAAAAAGTTATTATAACCCTCAAATATTTATAAGTTAACATATATAGGAAGAAAAAAAATATATGCATACTTATATCATCGAAAACGAAATATAAGAAATTTGTTTAAATAAAATATTAAAAAATGAAAACAATGTTGATCGTTATGACCATTACTTGTGAAATACTAAGAGTGTTATAAGGAAATATGCATTATTTATGTCGCAAAAGGTTAACACAAAATAAAAACTAATAAACAAAATTAAAAATATTATGTAAAAAGAATACTCTCGTAGCAAACTAATTATAAAAGAATGATAGAAAAAAAATATATCATTTGGCGTGGTGGTCATATCTTTACATTTTTTGTTATCCAAATATAACTTTCTAAGTTTTCTTTTATCTTTAGCATCATTGGATAATGAACTTGTAATATTAACATCCAAAGTAGATTGAAAAGTTGTATGCTGATATCCACCTGAAATATTTGAATTTATATTTTCATTGTTACCTGCAAGATATATAGAATAATTTGAAGTGGTTAGATGTTGATAAGGATAAATGATTTGTGTCCATATACTAAAAGTATAAATGTCAGTATTGAATTTTGAAATAAAAAGGATAATAGTATGATTTAAATTGTATACAATGCATAGATATTATTTTATGTAACTTATATAGTAGGATAACTGATATGAAAAGTTATTCGATATACCATTGATAATGTTAAATAACGGAGTTCTTGTCGTATAATTGGAAGTAGATTTGAAACATTGTTGAGCACACTCCATATAATCTATGAAATAAAAATATTTTAATTATTACAAAAAAATAAAACAAACATAATAAACAAATGAATATATTATTACACAATTAATTATACATTATATGGATGAAAGATAAATTATGTAATATATAGCATATTACCGATTGGTGTGGTGCAAGTCTGAATGGATCTTCTATTATCCAAATAATCTTTTATTTGTTTTCGTTTATCTTTATAAATGTTTGGGTTGACATTTTGATTGTCCCCGGCAACATTATTGAAGTTGGTTGATGACATGGTTTGACTTTTGCTAATGTCATTAGTAAGCACTGAGAAAAATATATAAGAAAAAAGTTATTAAGACCCTCAAAACATTTATAATTAACATATATACGAAGAAAAAAAATATATGCATATTTAATTCATCGAAAACGAAATATAAGAAATTTATTTAAATAAAATATTAAAAAATCAAAACAATGTTGATCGGAAAAATTGTTACTTGTGAAATACTAAGAATGTTATAAGGGAATATGCATTATTTATGTCGCAAACGATTAATAGAAAATAAAAACTAATCAACAAAATTAAAAATTTTATGTAAAAACAATACTCTGGTAACAAAGTAATTATAAATGCATGATAGAAAAAAAAATATACCATTTGCCGTGGTGGTTTTATCTTTACATTTTTTGTTATCCAAATATAACTTTCTAAGTTTTCTTTTATCTTTAGCATCATTGGATAATGAACTTGTAATATTAAAAGGATATGTCAAAATAGATTGAAAACTTGTATGCTGATATCCATCTGAAATATTTGAATTTATATTTTTATTGTTACCTGCAAGATATATAGAATAAAATGAAGTGGTTAGATTTTGATAATGATATATTATATACGGTAAGTAGTTATTTTTATAAGGAAAAACAACATTTAATATATAATACTCTACCGGATTAATAATATAATTTATTGATTATGTGTAATACAAATTTGAATAAGACTTAATCAATATTTTTATAAATTAAATTAAATAAAAGAGTAATGATAATAAAACAAAATGGACACGTTGAAAAATAATTACCAATTGAAGTGGTTGTCACGACATCGGATTTTTTTTTTATCCAAATTTAACTTTTTTTGTTTGCGCCGGTCTTTGGAATGATTTGAATCCATACGATGTTTATATCATAAAAAACAATAGATCCTGTAATAAAGCTATAATAAACCAATGTTATATAAATTCATAGTATATATTATGAATTAGTAAAATTGACACATTATAAAAATACGTACGTGTAAAAAAATTGTTAATTTAACATCTTTTGAAGCTTATATTTAATAAAAATAAATGGACGTGGACTTATTATAAAGAATTTATATTTATATATTTAAATTTAATATACATTAATGGATTATATAAAAAATGACTGTACATGAAGACAAACCTTATGTAGTTAATTGGAAAAAAAAATAGATTTCGGTAGTTAAACAAGGAAAAAAAATGAAATAAAAAAAAATAAACTATAGTGATTCTTATAGAAAGTTTATTTACTTCTTTTACTTTTGATTTTTTTTTGCTTAACAACGAATTCAAAAAAAAAATTCACAGTTTTATTTTATCAAACAAATTTGAATATTAAACATTACTTATCTTAAATATAAAAAAAGGGTTTACGTAAAGATGAAGAAATCTTGAAAACAAATATGGAAAATGACGATTCTGCCCCTATAACTGCAAGGAGACATGTTCAGAGATCGCACTACAAAATGAACTATAAAAAATGACCATTTTTCTGATTCTGAAGGGCCAAAGAAACGGAAGAATACTAAAGAAGCAAATGGTGAAGACTTGAATAAAAAACAGAAAGAAAGTGACTCCACTACCCCTGTAAGAAAAAGCGGTAAGAAGGTAGATGTTGAGGGCAAAAATGGTACTTCAGCACATAAGGGTTCTTCTGCAGCTGCTTCTGGTGATAAACATGGTGCTAAATCATCAAGTAAAAAACATGGTGACGCTGTCACTAAGGTATCTTCATAATTCTTGTAACAAAATACTATTTAATATTATTTACAAATATGGAAAATAACGATTTTGCCCCTATAAATGCAAAGAGACATGTTCTGGACTACAAAATGAACTAAAAAAAATGACCATTTTTCTGATTCTGAAGGGCCAAAGAAACGGAAGAATACTAAAGAAGCAAATGGTGAAGACTTGAATAAAAACCAGAAAGAAAGTGACTCCACTACCCCTGTAAGAAAAAGCGGTAAGAAGGTAGATGTTGAGGGCAAAAATGGTACTTCAGCACATAAGGGTTCTGCTGCAGCTGTTTCTGGTGATAAACATGGTGCTAAATCATCAAGTAAAAAACATGGTGAAGCTGTTAATAAGGTATCTTCATAATTCTTGTAACAAAATGAACTATAAAAAAATGATCATTTTGACCATTTTCCTCCTTTTTAGTGTCTGTATAGTTATATTTACAATCATTCTGGTATACATATTCAAATATAATCATATGTGGAAATACATTTAATAATGACAAAACGCATATACATAACAGAGGGATTTACATGGAGAATACATTTAATAATAAAAGGGAAAGCACAGATATGTTAACATATGGTTATATTTACAGTCATTGGTACACATCTTTTAAATACTAAAGAGGCAAAGGGTGAAGACTTGAATAAAAAACAGAAAGAAAGTGACTCCACTACCCCTGTAAGAAAAAACGGTAAGAAGGTAGATGTTGAGGGCAAAAATGGTACTTCAGCACATAAGGGTTCTTCTGCAGCTGCTTCTGTTGATAAAAGTGGTGCTAAATCACCAAGTAAAAAACTTGGTGAAGCTGTTACTAAGGTATCTTCATAATTCTTGTAACAAAATACTATTTAATATTATTTACAATCATATTTTTATATTTCAAACAAAGAAATTGAAATTGGCATTACATCGAACAGTTGGCGGACTGATTACAAATGGCCTTGTTACAATGTGTTAAAAAAAGAAGATAATTGAAAATAAAAGGAAATGCATCGTGCATATATAAATAGGCATAATACTAACCTTATGTAGTTGTTGGGATGGTAATGCAGATTCTTCAAGACAGTTGATTCCAGCGTGAAGAAGACGACTCGTGCATGTATAAACGAAATTGAAAGGAAACGACTCATAAATGTATTATGTATATAGATGTAATTGAAAGAAATTTTTGGAAATTATTACCTGCTATAAGTAAAAGACGAAGGATCACACATGATTGATGCGATTCTAAGTAGAAATCCAGTTAACATTCCATATAAGTACATTGTGAGTCCATACACAGAGAAGATTTGGTTAAAAAGAAAGCGATATGATTTTGAAATCGAATCCTTCAATCCACCGTGATTGAAGGCTAATCAGTTGGCAAACGTATCTTTGTTGCTCTGTATAAGGACTTAATTGAGGAAACATAAACATAACCATTACATATACGTGTCTTATTGAACAATTTATATGCATTCCATGTGGCATTCTAAGACATTTACATGTGGAATATTCACCAGAAGACTACTGGAAAAAGTCAAAGCTTCCTCATGCCACCATGTTAAACCACAACATCCGTATGAAAGCTGTTTACTTGAAACTAAGCGTGGGACTGCTTAGTATAAGTTGATGTATGTCGCTTATTGCTTTCCTTTATCCTAAATTAGTGTTGTGTGAAACTGCGAAACGTCTACCCTATTATTTTAACATGCTTATAATAAGGGAGACCCAAAACAAAATAGGGTCAAATATTACTCACATTTCACTTTTGGTGGATTGCCACAACATATAATTTTATAATTGGGACCAGGTTATGTGATGACATGACATTGGTTACATACGTGTTTAACTGTTTATCAAACTTTTAGTTTTCATTAAGTTTATGTAATACTATTGTACGTTTACTAATTTAAGTAACTTGTTATAATTAAAATGTTGCATGTTTCTATTATAAAAAAATATATGTACATTGATGAATCAATTTAATTCAAAGTTTTAAAAAATAATAAGATGTAATAAATAACAATTTAAAACTAAATAAATGACAACATTTAATAAAGAACTCAAAATCCATTCTTAACATAAAACGAAAGAAAACAGAATTTGTGAAACCAACAACGAAAGTATTCTTGACAAACCATAAAACCTAAAAATTGATGTTCGACTGGAATGATATATAAAAAACGAAAAACTGAAAATTGTTTGAAACGTTCATAAGATCTCACTTCTCGACTTTAGGAATCAATAGTTGGGTGGACACGACAGTTTCCTTGATTCCAATGGATTTTTTAGAAGGTTTTGTTGATGACTCACAAACAGTATCTTCTAGATCGTAAACATCTACAAGTTTACGTTTCACATTGGTAGTTGGTGAAAGCAGGCTAGTGGTGTCATGGTTGGTTGATGGACTCATTGAAATGGTATTTGGAAAAGTAGAGATAGGAGTATTATCAGCAACGAAGGAAGCAGAACCCTTAAATGCAAGAATTGACATATGTTACTGATTGACATAGGAGTAATGTAAAAGGAGTGAAAAGAAAAAAAAAGTAGGAAATTATACCTTAAAACCAATTGTATCCTGAGAGTTGAAATCTGAGACCACGACATTAACAGACTCAGTTTCAGTGTCCTATATATAACAGTTTGTAAAGTGTAATTTAGATTGGTAAATATCAAGTATATAAAACATAATTTGTAGACGGATTAAGACTTATTTGTAGTTAAACCTGTTCAATGTGGTTTGCTTTTTCAAGCTTCTCGAGCGCAGAAATTATGTCAACATCATCACTTATCTTTGATATGTTGTAACTACGGATGTATTTTCTTCCAGAGGTAAAGCCTCTAACTATAATTTTGAAAGCCATTTTTCTACCAATAAGTTCATTGATCTCAACAGGAAAAGCAACAGTCTCACCCATCTAAAAAAAAGTAAATGAAACAAAATTAGACTTAAAATGTAGAAATGATTAGAATAAATTAGGAATTTTATATAATGGATTTTATAATATATACCTTTTCATACTTTTCTATCAAATCTGATGCTGAAATGTTTAGAATACTTCTAACATCCCGATCAAACAGAGTAAGTGTCACTACTCCCACCAAGCCTTGTACTCGAATTTTGAGCATAAAACTAAGGTATTTAAAAAACAAATAAAAACCATACAAATTAGATAAATACAATAATGAAAGAATATTAAATTTCTTATTATACCTTGGTTCAGCAACTATGACTTGTTTTTTGCACTTCTCCTGTGTACATACCCAAGATTCATTCTCAGCTACATGGTCCAAAACATTGGCCTGTTCAATGGGCATTTTATGAACCTTTCTCTTACAGTTCTTGCAAGCCGGGTAGTACCATTGTTGATTATCTTCAAACATCTTAATTGCTCCAAGAATGATGGCATAACTCCCCTATTATTAGTAATAACCAATGATGTTGAATCAGGAAAATTAAGCATCACTAATTTAAGATTTAATAATGTAAATATACCTCATCTAATTCATGGATCATGGAAATCTGGTAGAATTTAGTATTTTTCAGAAAGTCATCATGTACAGTATACATGATAGAAGACGTTGTAGCACGAGAACATGAAGAAGCCGATCCACTTTTTTTTTCATTAAACATGTTTACAAATAAAGTGTAAGTATAATATCAATAAAAAATATATTTAGTTTAATAGTAATATATAAAGGACTTGATTGAAACGTAATCAAACTTTTTTTTGAAATCAATAATTTCTTCAACTTGCTCATCAATGAATAACTTTGTTGCTAAATATGTGTTATTCACATATACACGCCCTGAAAAGAAAATGAAAAAATATTGGATTAAATTATTTCTTATATAAACATTGAAAATGGTAAAGATAGAACATTGTATTAATAAAAGGACCTCGGTAATCCTTCCACCTAGCACATTGAATAATCATTACAAAATTCACCCGATGTTTGGATACATAGGAATCAATTTGTTCAGCGTAATCTCCCCACAAAGTAGCCAACACTTGTCGTCCCCTAAATGTATATGAATTAAAACAACAATTTTTAAACTAATAACACACAAGTTTTAAAAGAAACATACTCTAAATCTTCCAATTTCAATGTAATCCTTTTATCAAGTTTTTGGGTTGCAGGTTCCAGTGGATAGCATTGAAAAACATTACCGATCACATCTATAATATACATTATGTAAGATGTTAGTATATAATTAGTGTTAGGATGGACAAATAATATACAAATATTATAAGAGGTAAAATGTGAAATAAACGTTGTGAACTTTACCAAAAGAAACAGTTGAAGGGATCGCCTTATCGATAAGATCTTGGAAGTTTGCAAAAGCGAAAGAATTCAAGGGCCCATTAAAACCAATGCACTTGTTTACTCTAGTGGTATATTGAAAAAACAATTTGTTTTGAATGTCAACAAACTTCATGGCATCATCAACATATAAACCAAGTGTTGGCTTATGAATGTAAACATCAGCATATTCTTCAAGTGTTTTTCCCAGTATAACATATTGTTTCTCCACAGTGCATTCAATTTTATTGCCCTAAAAAAAACGATTAAATAAATAAGACATAAACAACTATATGATTAACATAATAGTGTATAACTAATAATATGATAAGTTGAAATCATTAAATATGTTTAAAGCAATTAAGTTTAAATACCTCTTCATCCATTAAAATCATTCCGATTTGTCGTGTCTCATGTGGTTTCGACCAAGTTGTTTGTTTCCAAAGCCGGATAATTCGGACCTTAATTGTGTAGTTGTCATTTGAGAGACCTAGATCATTAATCATTGTAATTTCTGTTGGATCCATGAGCTGTAAGACAAAAATAAAACATTGATTATATAATGGACAAAATTGAGAATGATAAACAAATCAGATTTGAGAATAATAAGCAAAGTAATGAGGATACAATTTATTATTTATTTTCATGTTTAGATAATTGATTGTGTAAGAATGAAGTGACATCAGCTGAAGTTGTTAAAGAGTCTGTAGTATCTGAAAAAGATGAAGAAATATTGAAAACAAATATGGAAAATGACGATTCTGCCCCTATAACTGCAAGGAGACATGTTCAGAGATCGCACTACAAAATGAACTATAAAAAATGACCATTTTTCTGATTCTGAAGGGCCAAAGAAACGGAAGAATACTAAAGAAGCAAATGGTGAAGACTTGAATAAAAAACAGAAAGAAAGTGACTCCACTACCCCTGTAAGAAAAAGCGGTAATAAGGTAGATGTTGAGGGCAAAAATGGTACTTCAGCACATAAGGGTTCTTCTGCAGCTGCTTCTGGTGATAAACATGGTGCTAAATCATCAAGTAAAAAACATGGTGACGCTGTCACTAAGGTATCTTCATAATTCTTGTAACAAAATACTATTTAATATTATTTACAAATATGGAAAATGACGATTTTGCCCCTATAAATGCAAAGAGACATGTTCAGAGACTGGACTACAAAATGAACTAAAAAAAATGACCATTTTTCTGATTCTGAAGGGCCAAAGAAACGGAAGAATACTAAAGAAGCAAATGGTGAAGACTTGAATAAAAAACAGAAAGAAAGTGACTCCACTACCCCTGTAAGAAAAAGTGGTAAGAAGGTAGATGTTGAGGGCAAAAATGGTACTTCAGCACATAAGGGTTCTTCTGCAGCTGTATCTGGTGATAAACATGGTGCTAAATCATCAAGTAAAAAACATGGTGAAGCTGTTAATAAGGTATCTTCATAATTCTTGTAACAAAATGAACTATAAAAAAATGACCATTTTGACCATTTCCCCATTTTTAGTGTCTGTATAGTTATATTTACAATCATTCTGGTATACATATTCAAATATAATCATATGTGGAAATACATTTACAATCATATTTTTATATTTCAAACAAAGAAATTGAAATTGGCATTACATCGAACAGTTGGCGGACTGATTACAAATGACTTTGTTACAATGTGTTAAAAAAAAGAAGATAATTGAAAATAAAAGGAAATGCATCATGCATATATAAATAGGCATAATACTAACCTTATGTAGTTGTTGGGATGGTAATGCGGATTCTTCAAGACAGTTGAATCATGCGTGAAGAAGACGACTCGTGCATGTATAAACGAAATTGAAAAGAAACGACTCATAAATGTATTATGTATATAGATGTAATTGAAAGAAATTTTTGGAAATTATTACCTGCTATAAGTAAAAGACGAAGGATCACGCATGATTGATGCGATTCTAAGTAGAAATCCAGTTAACATTTCATATAAGTACATTGTGAGTCCATACACAGAGAAGATTTGGTTAAAAAGAAAGCGATATGATTTTGAAATCGAATCCTTCAATCCACCGTGATTGAAGGCTAATCAGTTGGCAAACGTATCTTTGTTGCTCTGTATAAGGACTTAATTGAGGAAACATAAACATAACCATTACATATACGTGTCTTATTGACCAATTTATATGCATTCCATGTGGCATTCTAAGACATTTACATGTGGAATATTAGAAAATTAAAAAACCAAGAAAATGCCATTTGTCTAAACGCATAAGAATTTGCCAAATGTCAAAAAGATGTTTATTTATTAGGGGAGATTAAGGCATTGGTTTTATATTTGTGTATATATTTTATGTTCCCTATAAATAATCATTAGGTTAGATTTTGATAGAAGTTTTTTTTACCAGATTAGGTTTTTCTCTGTACGTTCATATCATATTCAATATACACAAAAACCTTTATCAGATTACTTGCATATTATGGTGATTGATTCTTGATCGTTCTTGATATTCTGCATTCGTCATCTCGGATTTATTCCTTACAAGTGGTATCAGAGCGGGTTCTTGTAGATCTCAGCGATTATTGCAAGAATCGATCTTGTTTATGGTGATATTTTATCACGAATCTCACCTTGTTCTTCAAGTTTTGAAAGTTTTCTGAAAAGAAAATGTCTAATACCTCGTTTTATTGCAAAATCTTGTTCAAATCTGTTATCTTCTACTCATTATTTCATCTGATTTGTTCTTGAATCGTGTTCTGAAAGAGTATTAGAAGAAATATTTCGCGTTTATTCGAATTTTTGTGTTCAAATATACTTTATCTCTCCAAAAATCGTTTCAGATCTGTTTTCTTTCTCTAGAAACCATCTCAGATCCGTTTTCTCTCTCTAGAATTCTTGTTAGATCTAATTTCTCTCTCTTTAAGTTTTCATTCTTGTTGAAGATTTAATGGCAGATTATATGGTGTTAAAAGACATTAAAAGACTAGGTGTAACACCCAAAAATTCAAGCCAATTTAAAACTTTTTAAACAACCCAAAAACCATTAGTTATTACAAACTTGTTTTTAAAATGTATAATATCAGAGTATCCCAAAAACATAGTCATAAAAAGTGAGGAGCTGTACGATCACACATTTGCCTTGCCACGATCCCCTGATGCACCTGAAACAATAAACTGAAACTGTAAGCCCGAAAGCTTAGTGAGTTACCCCCAAAATACCGATACACATACAATCCACATAACCATGTCAGCAATAACATATCATAACAAACTGAACAACATGTAATGGGTCCCCAACTTTACAGACTGGATTACCCTCGAGCCCACAGTACGAGTCTCCCTTTAGCCCGTAACTGGAATGCTCCCGAGCCCACAGTACGAGTCTCCCTTTAGCCCGTAACTGGAATGCTCCCGAGCCCACAGTACGAGTCTCCCTTTAGCCCGTAACTGGAATGCTCCCGATCCCACAGTACGAGTCTCCCTTTAGCCCGTAACTGGAATGCTCCTAAGGTTTGTTGGCTACCGCACGGAGCAGTACAACCTCAACCCATCCCACATAACATATAACATACCACATAACCACTGAGCATGCAATAATCATATAACATCACAGGTAGTCCTACATGTCTACCTAACTGGAATAACCACTAGCATGCAACACTAACTCATACTCAACATCTAACACTGCTAGGATAACATATCCAATGGGTCGGCCTTGGTGCCTTAGACCCCTTAGTATAGTGAGGATAACTCACCTGGCACTGCTGAAGTCCCGCAGATACACTCCAGCTGCTGGTTGACAGATTCCCGAACTGTCAACATCAAACAATACCCAATTAATAATTGGGTTCCAAGCCCAAGGTCCAACTCACACTACAAAAGCCCAAAAGTCAAATAATGGGCCAAAGCCCAACATATGGCCCAACTTTCCAAATTGGGCCCAGACCTCTACATGGTCTTTCCTTAAGGCCCATCCAACTATTCCAATCGAATTCCCATGGCCCATATCACATAATCATAAAGACCCAATTATGGCCCATCTATGGCCCAATTTTCCAAATTGGGCCGAAGCCCTCACATGGGCCTTATCCTAAAGCCCATCTAATTACTTTGGTCCATTAACTTGTTCTTGGATGGCCCACCAATAGTCCAATTGCCAAAGCCCAATAGGAAGGCCCAATTCAAGGCCCGAGTGAGATTAGGGCTTTCACATGAAATGATGATTAGGGTTAAGTGTTTCTTACTTAACCCATTAAGGACTTAATCCATTAAGTCCATTATTGCCTTAAATTAATTTGCCAATGATTATTAATTATTATTTTAGGTTTAATAATTAATTCTCGTGTGTGTCCCAAACGATTCCCACTATTAGGGTTTTATGCCCTTAGGGTTTTCCAAACCCTAATTAGGGTTTTCCAACCCAATAATAGCCCACTAGTCAATTGGTTGGGCTTTTAGGTCACTTTGGGCCTCATTGGGCCCATTAAGGTCTCATTGGGCCCACTAGGGTTTCTTTGGGCCCATTAGGGTTTCATTGGTCCCACATTGTCCAAACATCCCCCAAACGAGGTCCAAACGCAATCAAAGCACATCGCCACCCGACACGGCGGCCGGTGGCGGCAACCACCACCCTACGGTGGTGGTTTGAGTTTCTTTCCATTATACTTTTTGCTAATTACATTTACAATGCCTTAGCCAAGAATAAACACACACACTAACTACATAAACACACACACATGGCGGCACATGGTGGCAGCCACCACCTCACGGTGGTGGCGGTGGCTTTTCCGTGAATCCTGGCTAACCAAAACACCCAAACACACATATTACGAATGGAACACAGCCACACACACAACTAAACCCGAACTTGAAGAAGAATCACACACCCACACAACTCACAGCCACCTCCCATGGTGGCTGGTGGTGACAAGATAAGGCAGTGACGGTCTTGGCGGCGATTAACGGCAGCAGCGGCGATTAACGGCACCAGCGGTGCTTAAAGGCGGCGCTGAAACTGTGAGGGTGGAGAGAAGTCGGGATCCCACGCAAGCAACAGAAATCTTCCCCGACTGCATCAACGACGACATGCGGCGGACCACAACGAAATAGAGGAAGAAGAGTGGGTGGCTCTCACCGGAATAGTAGCAACGACGGAAAAAGGCGTCGTTTGGTCCCGTTGACAGCATCCGGCAGCGAGGTTGGACGCGAGATGGTCGTCTGGCGGCGATGTAACAGTGGAGGAGATAGCGGTGGCGAAGGGAGAGCAGTCAACGAGCGAGCAACCGGCGGAAACACAAGCACTCGCTTCTCGGTGGTCCTTGTCGCCGGCAGCAGGAGCTCCAGCGGTGGTTTACGACTTGGTGTTGGCAGGTAACGGCGACGGTAACGGACTCGACGGAGGGGGATAGAGAGGATGAAATGATGACGGCCAGAGGAGAAAAGAGAGTGGGGTGTCGGTTGATACCTTCACTAGGGTTAGGGTTTCAGAACTCTATATACCCGTTACTTCCAAAGTTG